AAACACAAAAAAATCCAGGCGCTGAATGATGCCCAGAGAATGTGTTACTTGCTCAAAGTCACATTAGTGGTGAGTGGTAGATCTAGGATTCAAGCACTAGCATTCACATTCTTAAACACCACTAATATGTAAGTACCTGTTAGAGACCAGACTTTTACATGCATGGAAAAATCTATGGAGACCACATTTCAACACACTAACATTGATTGTATTAGAAAGGGAAGTGATGAGCCATTTTCTTTGTCTTTATTCAAATCTACATCCTTTTAATTGTGTATGTATTACTACTACAATAAAAAAAAAACGCTAAGGTGATACACATTCAGTCAAGCAAGTATACACACATTCTATGAATAAATACATTATATGAGTGATTAGATAGATAGATCTATCTCACTGACCCTAGGAAGGCTTCTTTCATCTCCCATCAGGTTGTGTATTTGCCCACCTAAAAATTTGACTTCCTCCTCTGTGGGGTTCTTTGAACTCTGCAGCTAGTTGTGTCCACACTTTAACCAGCTCTACCATTTGACTTTTGAACCAAGTGTCCCCTCATTATGTCTGAATCCTTGTTTGTTCTCCTATCTTGGTGAGCTCAGATGGAATACAGACAGGGGAAAATGTCCTTTTACTTCTTTCCTTAACCTCTCTCATGGTTCCTACCTTCTCTCCCCTGGACCCGCTCTGTCCCCTTTTAGCTTGCTGAAACCAAAAAGTCACCTCCAAGGCCGAAGGTAGCCCAGGCACAAGCTGTAACTCAGGGAGAGAGCAGAACCTGATCTCCTACCACAAAGCAGCACCAAGTGCCTAAACAGGGTTTTCCTTTTAAGAGATGTATGGAAGAAAAGGTGGGTAGAGGTTTATCTTGGATACTGCATTACCCATATACTGTATTGCAGTTTGATTTTAAATCCTAAAACTAGGATAAGTGTCTGAGGTCAGAGAATACATATTATTCTTTGGATGAATACGTATTCCATGGTGAATGAGTCAATGATGGATGTGAGCGTAAGGGCAAACCTAAGAACACTTCCTTGGTAAATAGCTAGCCTGACCTCAAAAACAAATTAATATCTCAGACATCCTATTCTATAGGTCTTCTCTTCTTCATGTCACTTTCTTCTATGGACCTTGATTTCTTCTTCCTTATGCATCCAATATCTTTATCAATGTCAGTCAACTTTTACTTAGTCAAAATTAGTCAGAATTCAAAATTTCTTTTGAATTCTATCCTAGACACTCCCAGCTCAGTCTTACTTTATTTTTCATTAAAAATGCTTAATTCACACGTCTAAAAGAATGTCATGCAAGTGGAAGGATATAGATAATAAAACAATCCAAAAAATTAAAGAAACTTCCATATTTCTACCATATCTACCACCCAGCTTTTAAAAAAGACCTTTACTAGTATCTGTGAAGCTATCCCCCCCCCATTCAACACCTCTCTCATTCCCAATCCCAACAGGAATAAGCAAACCTGGAAACTTCGCTTCTTCTATTCCTCTATTTTTTTCTCTTTTTTAAATTTTTGAGTAGAGGTCTCACTGTCACACTGTCACCCAGGATGGAGTGCGGTGGCAAAATCACCGCTTACCGCAGCCTCAACCTCCAGAGCCCAAGATGATCCTTTCACCTCAGTCTCCCGAGTAGCTAGAACTACAGGCACTCGCCACCACACCTGGCTAATTTCCTTTCTCTCTCTCTCTCTCTCTCTCCCTTTCTCTCTCTCTCTTTCTTTTTTTGGTGGAAACGAGGTCTCACTATGTTGCCTAGGGTAGTCTCGAACTCCTGAGCACAAACAATCCTCCTGTCTCGACTTTCCAAATTGCTGGGATTACAGGCGTGAGCCATTTGGCATTCTATCTTCTAAACTTCCTTCTTAATTTTCGAGTTCCCCTGCAACTCTTATTTTTTTTTTTTCATTCTTATTTGGTCACTTCTCCCAGTGGGTACCTCTCAGGAGAATAACAGGTGAGGAGCACCAACCCAGGAGTGGGAAGACTCCAACACCCCCTCCCAAATCTAGGTGTTGCTCTCCCAAATCTGGGTGTTGCCTCCTCCTAGCTGTTGATCTGCACGCTTTGGGGGCGGGGGGGGGGGAGGTGGTATATCAAACAGATAATATGTGAGAAAGGCTGTTCTAAACTTTCAGGGGACGTCAGAGCTCAGCTTGGAGGCTGGTGGGGCTCCTCGGTCTCCTCTCCTCCCAGGCCTAGGGCCAGTCCGCCAAGGGCACGTGGTGACGTCGGAGGAGGCGAGGAAGGGACCGGGGGGCCAGAGGGGCGGGCAGCCCGCGCCGAAGGAGGGTAGCTGAGCCAAAAAGCTGGCGCCAGCCGCTTGGCAGGGAATTCTCCAGGCCGCTGGCACCGAGGTCTGTATACGAAGTGGGGGTGCGCAGACTATTGCCTCCCCCACCCCATACTCCAATACTCCAGTTTCCAGGGCACGGGTGCAGTGGGCAAGGGATCTCAGTGCTAGAGACGGTGTTTGCGAAGGTCAAAGGGCGATAGGACAGAAGCGATGCTCTGCCCCCAGCTACTTGTGTGACCTCCTCCCTGGACTGTGGTATTCTCATCCCATAAAGCAAGGGACTGATGCTGTTTCTCCAGGTCAGGCCTGGAGGTAACTCGACCGCACAAAGCAAGCACACAGACATCAGATGTCAGACCCCGGAGAGGAGGAGCACTGCGGCAGGGGACGTAGAGTCGCGGAGTAGAGAAAAACCATCGACAGACGCACAGACACAAAGGGCGAGGGAATCTCTGTCCCAGATTTGGGTACACCCAGAGCCGCAGGGTCGCTGGCGCCCCCACCGCGCCCACTCCCGCCCGGCTCCCGCACAACCATCCTGCGTCGCCCAGGCCGAGTCCCCGCCACCCGCCTCCTCCCCCGCCGGCGAGGCTTTCGGAGGGGGCCACTCACCCGCGCACCCTGCAATTCCCCGGGAGCAGCTGGGAGGGGCAGGGCTCAGCGGTCCGGCGGGGAAGGGGCTTCCCTGCAGAGAGCTGTGACCTAGCGACAGAGCACGGAATCGGGAGCGGGGAGACCAAAGCTGGAGGGGGGGAGGGAAGGAGGGTTCAGAGGAGTCTCCTCCCTACTTCCTCCTGGCTGGAGTGGGAGCCCGGGGGGCGGCGCTTGGCAGAGGACAGCGCTTCTTTGTGTTGCGGGCCCTGGCGGCTCGGCATTGCGGCGGCTTAGGGACGCCTGGCGGTCCCATCCCGGCGATGTGGACAGCCGCGTTATTAAAGACATGAACTTCTCTGACTGCACATTAGTGAGAAAAGACTGAAAAAAATTACGGAAGTGTATTCTGCTCAGTATTATCCAATTCTTAGAGCCCAAATCTCCATTTAGTTGGGGGGGGGGTACCTTGATATATGAGCAAGGGAAAAAAAGCAAATTGTCAAAACTGAATAAACTTTCGCTTAATAAAAAAAAGTCCCGTATAAATTTGGATTATGGTGGGGAGAAGAGAGGGATGCATGTCTACCTGTTAACAATGTTTAGCCTGAGGAGGGGAGGGACAACTTTTTATATAACTCTGCATTATTTGCAGTTACATGTCTTTTGCAAATAAAAAAAAAAAAAGACTTTTAAAAACAAACATTAAGTAACTACATTGCATTCTTCAGTGTACCTACTTCTTTGCTTTCTGAAAATCAGTTGACAGTTGCCCTTCCCCGGAGGAGCTGTCCCTACTGTGTGGCAACCTTGCCACCATTACAGTTTGAAGCACTAGCATGTGAAATGCAGGGTAGTAAAATGGTCAGGAACCCAGACTACCACCAAATGGACTGGGTTCAAGTCTCAGTGCTACACTTTACCGACTGTGCGACTTTGGGCAAGTTACTTGATTCCTCTGGGCTTCAGTTGTATTATCTGTAAAATGAGAATGAGAAAATGAATACTTCTGTTACAGATTTATTATAAGGCTTAAATTGGGTTGTCAATAAGTGTGAAGTTCTAGATCAATGCCTGCATAGGTAGACTGCATGAAAGCCTGTTAAACAAAATAAATATTAAAGTCATTCTAAGGTTTACTTATTTCACGTTTCAAGAAAATGCGCACCTTTTCATCCCGATTGGGTTTTGGTCCAAATCCAAGCCATACTTCCTTCCTCTGTCCCTCCTCAATGCCCTTTCTTCAAAATGAATCGGTGGCAGGGTTTGTGTAGAGGAAATGTCAGGGACAGAAATCAAGAGGACCTGAATTCAGGATCCTGCCGTGTCAAGGACCCCCCCACCCTCCATACAGTGACCACATCCTTTATCTTCTCCAGGGTTCGGGATTCTCAGTTGCCTGAGGCGGGCTGGTCCCTTCCGGGTCTGAATGTCAGGACTAATAGTACGGCAAGTTAAAATCCTGTAATAGTGATTTTCGTGCAAAAATTTTAAATCCAGAACAAACTCGCATATAAGGCTTACATAATAAATAATAAAGGGCAAATTATACCTGGAAAGGATACAAGCTAACTTACCTCTGAGGACGGAGACGAGAGACTTGCTGGGGGGGGGAAAGGGTTTTAACTGTTTCATTTCTTAGAAAGGAAGAGTGGCAAAAGGAGGGAACGCTGAAGCAAAGATGAAATGTCAGCACATGAGAAATCTGTTATATTATCTTCTGTACGTAGCTTTGAAATATGTCACAATGAAAAATGTTTAGAAAGGGCAGAGATGCAAGATTTTTGACAGGTAACTGGAGGAGAAATGCAGTACAAAATAAATGAGTCAGAGTGGAAACAAACGGAGATGGAAAAATTGCAGGGAACCCTCTGAAAGACACCTGCCTCCTTGGGCCCAAGCACCCACGCATTCACAGGCCACACACCCGACCGGCTCACAGACAGGGGGCGTCCCCACGGGCCGCGCTCCCGGAGGACCCCAGGCCGGCGCCGCCCCTCCCACCCGCCCCGCAGAGGACCGGCACCGGGAGCCTCTCCCATCTGGTGGGTGCGCCGGATCCAAGGCGGTTCCAAACACCATCTTTGGACAAGACTCACCCTTTGGTCCAGCAATTTCCACACTGCTTAGGTGGGGGGAGGCAGCACTCTGCAGAGCTGCGACAAGGCGACGAGGCAGACGGTCGGGGATTGAAAATTGGTGATGAAGGGGGCGATAGGAGGCGTGGGAAGAGGTGGGCTGCAGTGCGGAAGGGGGGGCGGAGAGAAAACCTTCCTCGGAATATGATTGGCTGCCCCGGGGTGGAGGCGGAGCTTGATCTGCGCCCCTGGACCGCAGAGAATCCGCTTTGTGTCTGTCCGTTTCTGGCTCAAGATGCTCCCAAATCCGGGATGGAGACCTCGATGCCCGCCCCGGGAGTGCAGCATAAAAATGTGTTAAAAAGTGTATAGATGAGACTATTACAAGGGAACGGTTGATAAATAATGATAGGTCTTCATATAAAATAGTATAAAACTATTTTTAAGGAGGACTTAAATCTATATGATTTGTTAGGAGTTAGGCTCTCTCTTATAAATGTTATATTTACATATTACTTTTAAATAAAAATTTAACATTGTAGAAGAGCTCGCACAAAAAATGCTAATACTGTTTTTATATACTTATATAAGCAGAAATTATATGAAGGATAATCAACTATTAGAATTAGTTATTTCAGACAAGAAAGTGTAATTACTTGCATTTTTTAATACACCCCATTAAGATTTCATAGGTACACATATTATTTTGTAATAAAAATAAATTAAATTAACTAAATAGATCAAATATCCTTGTTCAAACAGTTGGTAATGAGTTATCTATAAATATGGTTTCTTCCTATGTGATGGTTTCTTGAACCTTGTTCATAGTTATGAGTTGTAAATTAAGAGTGGGATACAACACTTGACTTTGGAGCCAGGGCCTGGGTTTTCACATGAACAGGCCCTGCCTTGAGTGTCATCTGCTCATCTTGCTTGGTGAGCTCAACTAAAGAATGCAGGAGGAAACCACTACTCCTTTTTTTGTGACTGCCCCCCTAAACCTGAAGGAGGTGTGAGTGGCCCTTGTACATTCTCCAGTTACCTCACTCCTCATGGCCCTATTTGCATTGTACCTAAGAAGGTGTTCCCAGACTAAACTGTCCTCAGCAAGAGACTATTATAAAGTTTTCTCCCCTACTGCAAAACAGTGTCCAGACTGGACCATCCAGGGAAAGGCGGCTTCAGTGGAGAAGGTGATAAGAGTAGAACATTCTTTACTACTTAAGGGTTTCAGTCAACTCCTTAAATTGGAGGAACCGTGTTTTATTCTTCTTTCGATGTTTCACTTCACGTACATCACAAAGAGGTGCTCTGTAATGTCCACTGGGTGGATGGGTGAAGGGATAAAATGGGGGTAAGAAAGGAAGTCCCTAGGATCATTCCTCAGCAAAACAGACAGTAGAAAACTGATCAAATTATAAATTTCCTGTACTGCAAGTTTTCTTTTCTCCTTCACACTCTCTTCTTTTCTCTTAATCGCCCACCCCACCCTTAAGACTTTTGTTTACTTTCTATATCTCCCAGTACCTTCCCCAATATTTGAGCTGTTTCTATCTTCTCTTTCTCCACCTCAAATACCACTTTGCTAGCTCAATTTTAAATTCTGGATCCTAGCCAGGCTCAGTGGCTCAGCCTGTAATCCCGCACTTTGGGAGCCCGAGATGAGTGGATTGCCTGAGCCCGGAGGTTTGAGACTCGCCTGGGCAACTTGACGAGACCTCATCTTTACAATAAATTAAAAAAAAAAAAAAATCAGCAGGGCATGGTAGCGCGTGCCTGTAATTCCGGCTACTCGGAAGGCTGTGGCAGAAGGGTCACTGGAGCCCAGTGGGTAGAGGCTGCAGTGACTGGGAGCGGCCACTGTACTCCAGTCTGGGCGACAGAGTGAGACTCCAACTCAAAAAAAAAAAAAAAAAATCTGGAT